CAAGAACACATGTCAGTTTAAACTACAAGACAGCTGCCAAAGAAACAAAGCACGCATCGACTTACTCCTAGTATTTAGGAAATTTCAGTTGTGGCTTGGAGGGCACTGTGACCCAAAACAGAAGGAGCAAAGGGCAGAGAATCAACACTGGCTGAGAGAATTCTGTGCCCAAACCAATTTGGCATCTGGTGGGCTGGTCAAACGCTTCACGTGTCGTAGTGTCAACAGTGCAGTGACTACAGGAAATTCTCCATCTGTGTCCCGTGGCGTTTTGTAATGTTTGTGCTAAATCTGTCTCTGGAACAAGCTGGGCAGAAGCAGGAGGGAAAGTCAAGTGTTGGTCTTTTATTGATCTACATGTCGGTATTCTGTAAAGGTTTCTGTGCTGCTGTAATTGAATACTATACTGGTTTAGGTGCTGTGATTATTTTCCCATGCAGATACACCATGTTAAGTTTGGGTGTCTGTGTTTTGACTTATTTCCAGGGCTATAGTTGATAACTTGAACTTCTGGATCAGCTCCCAACCAACCTGGAGCCGACTAGCTCTGTTGGATTGAAAGTCATCCAACCCAATGCATTTTTAAATAAATAAAATATACAAGGAGGCTATAATCAGATAGCCCTGGAGAGCACTAGGTTGGGGAAAGACAGTCAGCATGGTTTAACATTTGTCTATGCTGACTGCTTGAAAAAGCAACACAGCTGTAATGATTTCGGAGAGCCACTCATCGAAATAAACAGGTGCCATTTCCCATTTTCCAAACACAAAACATGCCCTCTTTTCATTCACCTATCGCATCTTTGCAAAGAGCCAAAAGAGGCTCAAGTGCAGAGAAACACTGATTCCAAAACTAAAGAGAGGAGGCCGAAATCACTGGGAATATTAACCATTACAGAAAATGAATATTAACCATCCTCTCATCTACTTCTAGGCAGATTTAATTGATGCTTCATTCTGCCAAATGCATTAGTCATTAATGTTTTTGTGGCATTTCGGATAGGAGAACCATGATGGGAACCTTCTTGATGCGGTGACCCATTTGTTCTGAATTACGTAAAGTTCTCCAAAGAGGGATTCTGGCAATTCACCTTGGTGACCCATGGTTTCTGGCAAGTCCTGAAGGCCCCAGAGAAAAAGGATGCCCACTTCACAAGGGTCTACAGTACAAATTGTACTTTGCTGGACTTTCGAGGGGCTGTGCACACAAGCCAAAGCCATGCCAGCACTATGGGGCTGCCTTTTCTTTCCATAACTGGACCAATCCAGGCAAGCCTTGAAGCCTGAAAGCGAAGAGCCTGAGGCCAAGGTAGCCTCTTCCACAAAAGCCGCTCCTACAGTCAGGCTCCGAGATGAGCTCACCCCATCTACCCATTGTCTGACCACCGTCAAGCTTTGGGCTGTAGCTCTTAGGGAAATGCCTGTCTCCCCCTCCCCAGAGAAACCACCCCCATGGAGCCTCTCCACCTTCTCCTGCCAAGTCTCCCGAGCGGCCCATACAATTACTCCTCTCCTACACCCCTGCAGCTCCTTCCTTCACTGCCCTGAGTGGTGTAGCTCAGGGGAACCAAAAGATGCATCCCCATCAACAGGCTACAAACAATTGACTCTGAATGTCTTCATGTTTATTATTGGATTTTAATTGTATTCATATAGTTATTTGTTTTTTTGTGAGCCATCTCGAAGCTATGCATAAGATGGCATAGAAATTTCTCAATAAATAAAATAAACAAATAAAATAGGAGTATTTTTCTGTGCAAAAAGGGAGAGTCAGTGTGTGGACTTTTGGCTTTCGTTCTGTCCGTTACCAAACAAGCCCCCCTCCATCACCTCACACAGCTCCCGAGTACTTTTCTTTCAGAAGGAAATAAAAACACAGGGGTGCCTTTGCTACATAACAACTCTTGCGCTGCTGTTTAACAAAAAATTGTCTCAGGAGTACAAAGTGCAGTGCACACGGTTCTGTTTGCATTTTATGGAGATCTTTCCATGGAGGAAAATCACGTACTGAAGGACAAAAGGGTTGGGTGCTTCTCTTCTCTTCTCTTTCTTTTGATGCAATGATTCCACTGATCTATTTAAACCTCTTGAAGGCTACAAGAACGACATGTACCAGGTAGCAAAGCTGAGTAGAAAATGCACCTGGGTCATACATCGAGGGCAAAATGTTGACACATCAACCTTGAGCTTGTTACACAAGCCTCTTCTGGTTCACATGTCCGAGCTTGCAGGTCAGCAAGCTTCGAGTGGACAAAAGCAGAACACCCAGCTTTGGATGGATTAGCTCCCAGGGTCTTCTGGATAAGGGTGAGGAACAATGGGAGCTTAGATGTACTCCCAGAAAAGGCAGCTGCCTCCTGCTTGCCTCTGGACTAGAGGAAGAGGAAGGCATCTCATCTTCGACACATCTCATCTGTGAGCTGGCTAGTCAGAGCGTGGCTGGCGCAACGTCACTGGGCGGGACAAGTTCTGGAAGAAGCACTGGCCTCCTTCCTTCGTGAGCCCAGCAGCTGCTCCCGCATCCCCATCATGAGTGGCCGAAAGGAGGGCCTTCTCAGAATGGCACCCTGGCTGTGGAATGAGTTCCCCACAAAGAGATGTCTATTTTATATTCTTTTTGGCACCAGGTTACTGTCGCAGCATTTTAACAGTTTAACTTATCCTGGTAATTCTTCTTGCTAGATCTTTTTATTGTATTGTACTGAGTTTTTAAGCCATTTAAAATTAAATTTAGCTCTTTTAACATCATTGCTTTATGAGTATTGAATTATATTGTTTTGTTTCATACCTTGTTGTAAGCCAGGTATAAAAACAGGTATGCCAGAAAGTTTCAGCTATGGGGCAGTATAGAAATGAAATAGTAGCAGCAGCAGCAGTAATGATATTAATAAAATTTTAAACTTTAACAATGCATTTCTCCTATTCTGCTGCTATGCTTTGATGTGGATTCACAGGCAATTGCTATTGTGGTTTTGTGGTATTGTGTCCATTTTTTAAAAATTTCTGTTAACCACCCGGAGTGCCTTGGCTACTTGATGGCATAAAAATGAAACTAATAAATAAAAATCAATAATGTTATTATTATTAATTAATCAAGACCAAATGGCTCAATCAAATGTTCTTTTTTCAAGCTCAGACTGGGGGGAAAGGAGTAGGCAGAAAATGGGGTACCCACTCCTCCTCCTCTGGCTGCTGCTCCTAAATTGCTTTAATGGAATCTGTTGTTCTAAGCATCTAACAAGCAGAGTTCTGTCCTTTAGGGGGACAAGAAGTGGGAAGACAAAGCAGCTTTGCAGGAGCACAACCCTAAACAGAGCAGTCAAATCTGGGACTGCGGCTGCCAGTTTGAACAGGCTGGCTTGCCCAGGCACAGCAGCATATAATTTCTCCCTGTCCAGAAGTTGTTGGATAAGAACTCCCATATACCCATGACTATCAGCCACACAGGCTGGGGCTGATGGGAGACAAGCCACAGCTGGAGTTCTGTGGGTTTACACGCCCCTGCTGCAATGCAAGATTTGGCATTTCCAATTGCCTGTTGGAGTCAATAACCCCGGACAGATGTTGGACGTGCAGAGAGATGCAGTTCCATCAAAACAGGGCAGTTTCTGTAGGAGGTCCTGCTAAGAGATGGTGACGGGGCTAGGTGGGGATGCAGGTCGAAATAAGCCTCATCTAAACATATGAATTGTATATACCTAATAGGAATTATGTATACCCAATTTATAATTATAAATTTATAAATCAGTGGCAAAGAAGAATGGGATGAGCATCTCCATGTTACTTGTAGCTGCTCTCTTTTCCTCACAGCTCTGTCCCTTCAGCAGTAATAAAAGAGGATATAAATTCACCAGGTTATGCACTCTGCCTTTCTCCTGTCAGATTTTTCCCTGAAGGCAGCCCAAAAGCCTCTGGTGGTAAAATGTACTGAAATTTAAGAGTCCAAAAGGCATGACATTCAAACACTAAATAAACATACAACTCTTAAAAGCACTGGCATTATAGAGAAGCAAATCATACAGCAATGAGTGCGTTTTGCTTTTGCTACAAAATCCAACCTTGAGAGCAGTTTATACACTCTCAGGAAGCATAGCAGTAGCCTTACCTAGACCAAAACAGATGTATGCAACAGGTTTTTTTTAATCACTCCTTAATCCACCAATCTTTCTGCACACAGAAAACACACGATAATAAATCAGGCAGTAACCCTCTCCTTTTCAGGCTGAATTTCTACAAGCTATTTTTCCCCCTATATGCAACTTCACTCTGCAGCTTTTCCTATATTCAGAAAAAGCATTACCATCTCTTTAGAACTAGAACTGGTTTATTCCAAAAAAACAGCATCTCTCAAGGTTTCTACCCAATTAGGTATTGGTGAAACTGCTTTTTTAAAAACAAAAAAAATCTCAAAATCACAATGCTTCATTAAACACGCAACTCACGAAAAATGGAACAGTCTCAAATGGAAAGAAGCTTGCTTGGTAACCTGCAGTAAACAAAACACACACCTTTGGTTCACTGCTTTTTGGAGCATAAAGGAAAATCAAGATGTGAGTGGAACCAGAAAGCCTTTCCCAGGTTCTTCTTTGAACAGATATGAGTTTTGTGAAATTTCCAACACAGGCTAGCACAAATTTCTCATTCCAGCTACAGAGAAGGACCACATTTGGTCTATTTCATACCTCATACTTAATTATGATCTAAAACTCAAAACTTTATTACCAATAGCAGAAACTCAAATTTCTGAACTCAAACCAGACAGAAATAAATTCAGATTTACTTCTTGAGGGCAGAACAAAATATCAGGCAGAGAGACAATGGACAGTCTCTGCCCACATCAGTTCTACAAGCAGGGATGGAAATGGTGTCAGAACCAGTGTGGAAACTTCACAGTGTCGACCAAAACAGGAGAATTGCATCCAAAAGATTTCACATGCCATTTTGCATCCTGAGAGCACACGTGTGTTCCCCAAGTTAAATGAAAAGGCAGAAATCCAGGAGAGGGAAAAAAGGCAGATTTAATTTTATTTCCTTCCAGACAAGGTATTCATTTTTGCAGAAACATATAGGTATGCGAGGGGAGGAATTCCTTGTGGGAAAAAAATTTCAACCTCAGATTTCCTTTGGGGAAAAAGCTCTAGAATAGACTTTTCCAATGTAGCTCCGTCCAGATGATTCGGACTACAACTCCATCAACCCCATACAGCATGACCAGGATAATGGGAGTTATAGGCTGAAACATCTGTGGGAAGTAGATTGGAAAAAACTGCCTTAGAGGAGAATGACAATGATTGCATGTAGATCTACTCATTTTGTTTTCTTAAGGACTAGTAGCTTGGGTGGATTTCTTCTCTAGACAATAAAAACTCAAAATATCTTTTTTTAAAAAAAAAATCAGTTTAGATTGCACTTCATGGCACCAGAGAGCAATTTTGAAAAACAGCAGAATAGCCCCATCCATCCACTTTCTGTAAAGTGAAATAATATCACAATGAATTATCCTTGAAATTAATAGATGGACATAACACACACACACACACACACAATATACACCCTTACATCTTACAAAACAGGTTGGATTCCAGCAAGAGAGGATAAGGGGGACTTTGAAATTGCCACCTGCTGTTTTAAGAAAAAGGGCAGCTTGGCGGGGCATGGATGGACTGGGGGCCAGTCAGACAGAAACGTTTCATGCTGGGCTGGAATAATTCCAGACATCTAAATGGGCATGATCTGAATTCAATTCGAAGTGCAGAAGGCCAGTTTGAACAGGGAGATGCAGAACATACGCTGAGCATTTCCAACAGCACTGGCAAAAACAAAACCTAAATAAAAACCAAGTTTCCTTCCAGGCTAAAAAAGCAGTTTTATGTTGAGAATGCTTTTCCTCTTAAGGCATGATGCTGGAACAAATAAGAAAGGCTGTGATTTTCTGCGCAGCTCCCTTTGTGAGATTGACTGGATCGGTCCAGGTGCACGAAGCAAACTCCAAGCTTACACATTCAATCACTCATTTGCTCCTGTATCCCGGCAACCTGCCTAGAATGTAAGTTGTTTTCATTTTTCTACTCTCTGGCCGATTCCTAGTAAAAACTAGAAAAAGGCCCTTTTCCTTTACCCTTCTTTTTAATACCCAGCAATGCCATAAGATTATTTTTAAAAGCAGCTGTCGCATAAATAGATGCTCTCAAATGTCAAGGCAGTTTTGTGAGTGGCAGATAATACATCATAAACATTAAAACTTTTTGAAAAAAATGAGTACTTCTTCAGCTTTTTCCTCAAATGTCAAATAAAAAAGGTAGCAAGTATGCCAAATGCAGAAAGCAGTGGGGTATCTCACAGCAGTATTTTGAATTAAAAGAAGGGAATGCAAACATTTGTGATGGCAAGGTTGAAATGAAAATGGTTATATTTGTCATATAAGTTGCACATTTTTGAGAATAAAGAAACTCAGTTTATCCTGGGCATCAGATAGCCACAAAATAAATTGGTATTTTATAGTATTGTGCCTGATTAAAATGCAACATTCGAACACTTTTTTAATTTGCACTTAGGCAAAGAAGAGTCTTATGCATACATTCAAGAGAAAGCATCAATGAAATTAGTGGGACTTGCTTCTGAGCAAACATACAAAGCTGCATAAACAGAAATACAAAAAGCCACCTCTGATGGGGAACCAAAGCATCCCTTCTCGAATCTTTTAAGATTAGAGCAATGCCCAACTGCAATGGGATCCAGCAATGAAGAAACATTGATGCTTCTTAAGCAGCAGCATTGAGGTGTTGTTTTTCCGATGTCAACTATTCTTTAAAAATAAGCAATTTGGAAAATTCTGGACTGAACCAGGAAAGGAGTAGGGAGAATTTTTTCAAATGGAAGGACTTTTTTAAATCCATGAAATCAAAACAGAATGTTGCAACCTGAGCAAGTCAATCCCAACACTATGGGATTGGGGCTCCCCCTGAAGAAGCCCTTTGTGAGGGAGATGAAGAGCAGGAGTCAGGGGTTGCTTAGCAACTACCTCCGGACCACTTCCTTGCAGCCTCCGGGGAGAAGAGAAGCAGGGGGCACAATACTAAAGGGCAGTGGGCACACCCCGTACCCCAACCCTGGCCAGTGGGCTCTGGTTTCCCATGAATAATTGAGTCAGGGCTTTCAGAGGGGGTGGGAATGTACTCCCTCCAAAGAGTGCCATGTCTATTCCTACCTACCCCAATACACGATACATTGACATGTTTTCTAACCATTAAAACGCCAACAGAAGTAGGGGTTTCAACAGAAGATCAAGGGCTTCCAACTCATCAGCTGATTTGCTCCAGGTAAGCTGAAAGCAGGAGGTCAGGTGGCAAAAAGATGGTGTTTTTGTTGCTGACTTTCATTTGGCGTTTGCCTTTGTAGTCAGAACCTTGGGGGCAGAAAGATTGTTTTAAAATATGAATAATTAATAATTTTGTGTCCCTCCCAATTTTGACCATCTCTCCTGGGTGAACAAAAACAGCAGAAAACAAACCACCCCGCAATAGCACTGGCAGGCCAACTCCCATCATCCCCATCTGGTCCAAGATACCACCCATGAGTTCTTGAGCTCTAGCAAGCAAAACGTGCAAATTTAACACAGCTCTCCTCCACTTTGCTCACACCTCCTCCCGAATCTTACTTAAACACTGGCAGAGAAAAGAAGGGGAAATACTTGAGTATTTGTGGGTTTTAGAGAATTAAGTTCTTCAGTGAAGCTGCAGTGGCACTAAAAGGGAATGGATTGTTGTATGAAGCAAAGCAATGAAATCTTGGAAGAGGCCAGAGAGAAATGCTCCTTCCAGGGTGGCCAAGAGGTGGACCAGAAGCTGAGGGCTTTCAAAAGTCATGCATACCTCCTTCTGGTCATGAAACCTTGTAACTTAGAAGGCACTGGCTGCATGAAGTGGAGGTGGCCCTCACTCTAGATATGCCCAGAGGCACCCAAATCTTGATCGTTGTGTCAGAATTCTGATATTAGGATTTGGGCTTAAGCTGTGTCCTTCCCAACACATCGGGGGAGACCAGGATACCTTTTACATGGTAAGATCGTCAATTTAAATGGGTTTTTGTGAGTGGCTTGACCATCCTTCTGCCTGGAAGGTCAGATTACATGTTGGGAGGAGGCCCAAAGTCTCACTGGAGGAAAGAGATAGTAGCTTAAAGAAACTCAGCATCATGCACACACACACACAAATATTTGAAAGTAATTTCTCACTGGCAGAGGCAAGATCCATGTACTGGCAGAGAGCGTGAAGCAGCAGCCGTTCGAAGCTGCAAGAAACCAAGAAAAAGGCATTTTATTAACCCTTCCAGCAGGTTCACTGATGTGATCCTGGGACAGAAGCAATCTGTGTGTCTAAGAAAGCCAACACATTTAGTGGTGCCTCCAACAAGTGGGCTGCGAAGCTCCTCCATTGTCGGAATGAACAAGATCCCAAACGGACATCAAGCCCAAACTCGTCCCTCTGTGCAACCACTCTTTAAATTTTAAAAGAGTTACTAGTCCTCATTGATAGTGGAGTTAAGTCTAAGACGCTAGTGATGTCTCTGTGACTAGCCCAAAGTCACCCAGTTGGCTCCATGAGCAGGGAACAGAACCCAAACTGCCTGAGTACTCTTCTCCGCAGTACCACACCAGCTCTCAGACCCCAGATGCTTCCCATTCATCCTGTTCTTAATTCTATTTCTTAATTTTTTCCTGCAAAGTAAAGGGCCATCTTCCAACACCATCTCTCTCTGTGTGCAAGAGTGCTTTGGGGGGGGGGTTCAGTGCCCCCCATCCTGCCTTACAGGTAGATTCTTGGGCACAGAACTTTTTAACTCCCCGGTGTGCCTTCCAAAGACTGAGTGTTTGCTATCAGCCGTGCCTATGATGGCAGCCATTTTGTGAAAGTGCAACCCTCCCATTTTGTGAGAGCACCCACAAGTTTCTCTCAATGTTCCAGGTGCGCCCGCTAACCCAGAAAAGCAGGGAATGCCTGTCTTAAAGAAGACACCAACTATAGTCAGAAACACCAGTAAAAAATGGGTCACTACAAGAGACATGGACACCGTCCTACCTGTTGTCCATCATGGCTGTGTAGACTGCATGTGGGTTAGCTGAAAAAAAGGCCAGCAATTCCTCCTCCAACCCTTCCAGGGTCCCCTGGAAATGAAAATCAAGGCCTTTAGGAAGGGACTCCTGGAGGAACAGGCTTGTCCAAAACCAGCAGGAAGCAAGCAAAACCCTACAAGTTGGACCTCAAATGGAGCAGAGACATGATCAGGAGTAAAAACCTCCCAGCCGAGGTCATGAAAACATACCCAGGCCAAATAGCAACCCCCAAAAGGTCTGTCAAACAAAATGCTTTTGCGGCTCTCCTCCAACAGAGCAACCCCATTTCCCCAAAGGCTGGGATGCCCCGAACGTTCCTACCATGGGAATCCGGCTTTGCTTCAGTGTGGTGCGCAGGCGGCGGCTGATGCGCTGGAAACATTCCTGGGGCGTGTACACAGCATGTTCTGCGACGGCAGGGAGGAAGGGAGGGGGAGAGATGATGCAGCCCCCGGTCCACAAAGAGGCAGCCTTCCCGCGTGCGTCCCGGCTCCTCCACCACCCCAGGCAGCTCCTGGCGAGGCGGACCTTTCTTGGCACGTCTCGGCCGACAAGGCCCGGCAGGTCCAAAAGCCCTCTAGCAAGCCAGACTGAGGAGCCCAGGCTGGGGACTTCGCCCCAATCCTCCCTCGTCTTGGTGCTGCAGCCTTCGCCCTCGGAAACCCGTTCCAGACCTGCCCATCTGGCCAGGTGGGCCCTCACCATCTCTGTACCTTTCCACTTGGCCTTGGCTTTGCCGGTCCATCTGTTTCTCCGCTTCCTTCTCGCCTCCTCCTCCAAATACAAAAGGAATCTCTCCTGCTCCTCACCGGACCGGTTCATGAAGTTGTTCCAAATCTAGCCAAGAGGCACAGAGTGTCAACTCCTGCGGAAGACTCGCACCAGCCCTTGTGATGAACGAAATGAACCCGACTTCTTCTGTTCACACACACCGCTCCACTGACTTGACCAGTCGATCCACTGATTAAACGAATGGGCTGAGAGTCAAGTCCACTTTACGCTTTTTTAAAAAAACCACTTGTTTGGCTCTGGAGCATTTCTGTCCCTTAAGAAACACTGAGAAATGTTTAAAACAACGGGATTTGCTTCTAAAGGCAGAAAGCAACCCTCCCTTTGCAAAACTCTTTTTTATTGTTTTTAGTCTATAATATGCTATGGTGCAGTGGCACAACTGGGCAGGCATACAGCTGTTTTAAGCAGATAACTGAATAAATAAAACACATTCACAGACTATGTGACCAAGATGGGCTAAATCTGCCTTCCCCAAACTTCCAGGCACTGGACTAAACCCCCAAGGAAGTATCCTAAGCAAGCATGTAGTCAAAAAAACCAGTGTTCCTTTTAGGATGAGTTACCCCTACACCCAAACCTCAGACCTATACCATGTTTGAAAAGATATATCTGGAGATTTGTTTTACAGGGAGGAGAGCAATGTGATTTTCAAAGATGAAGTCATAATTTTATTCCAAGGTCCTTCAAATGGCACCTATATTTAGGTTATAAAATCTCCAGGCTTATTTATGCATCGTATTTACTTCTGCAAGCCTTGGTCAAAGAATGGACAGAAAGAAACAGGTGTGACTAAGCCCCAACCTTTCTTGAAATAGTTATTTGTCATCTTTCTTATTCAACACTTCCTTCTACAGAAGGGCAAAGGCACTTTTTGCAAATGACAGCCATTAGTTATTTTGCTCTATGGCTTTATGGCAAAGGTGTGTCTAACCTATACATGTTTAGCAAGTTGGCACCTTGCACCATTCAGATTCTCAACCAATGTTACTTTATTAAGAAGAGGGGAAAGGTTACTGGTCCTCATGGTATTTATGACTAGAGCACCTAATGGAAGTTCAAACTGGTTAACAGAGCAGCCCTTGGGAACATGATGGGAAAACTCATTGCAGAACCCCAAAACCCAACCTATGGAATTCACTCCCCAAAGAGGTCCACCTGGCACCGTTGTTACTGGTTTTTCGGCGCCAGGTAAAGACCTTTTTATTTAAACATCATTTCAATTGTTAAAACATATGGTCTGGCCAGGGCAACTTCTTCTTCCTTCTCTTTCTCCTCCTATATTTTTATTTTATACTGATAATTTTAATTTTATTTTTGTAAATCAATGTATTTTTTGTATTTTTATATTTAATGGTAGTTTATTATGTACTATTGTATTCCAATGTATTTTATCATGTTGTAAGCCGCCCCGAGGTTTCAGCAAGGGGCGGCATAGAAATGCTATAATAATAATAATAATAATAATAATAATAATAATAACAACAACAACAACAACAACAACAACTTGTGACCGTTCTTTTCCCTTTTTCTTTGCCTTCTGCTGTCTCCCATTCCAGGGCTAGAACAGGTTTTCTTTGCCCTGTAGGTAGCTATCTCTGGCACATTCTGTTCAGGCTACCGGAAGAGGAAGCATCAGCCATTGGAGGATGGCAAAAGCTTCAAAGTAAAGACTATTCTGTGCCTTTATGAGTCCTAATTTTCTCTAGATTACTAGATTTTTAGCAATGTGCTGCTAAAACATGTAAAAGCTAAAGATGAGTTATTCTGAAGCCAGATGGAACAGTTTTTAAAAAAAAAAAAAAAACAAGAGCATTATGAAAGAGTGACTTGATGTCATGGCTTCTCTCATTCCTGTTGAATGCTGAGATCATGAAGGCATTAGACATCCCAAAATAATCCCCACACACCTGCTCCATTCTGTACCCAAAACCTAGCCCTACCACAATTTCTTCAAACATATTTTCATACAGCACCTCAAAATAACTTTTCAAAGCCACATATATTTCAAAACAAAACAAATATAAAAACTGCACGTTTTTGCAAAGTTTTAAGGTTTTATGGTCTGGTTTTTATCATTGGCAATGTTTCTTTGTTTGAAATTGTTACCCATTTTCTTGGTGGCTCTGTGCCAGATGAAAAGGCATATAATCTTTCATAATAACAAATACATGCTTAAGTAAGGGCACAATCCTGTACTGGGAGCTGCACCACCTTTCCAAACTCGGAGAAGGCTGAACCTTTTCTTCTCAAGGTGCTCTCAGAAGAAAGAGTGTGGATGGACAGACCAGCGGCCAGAGTCGGGTCCAAGCTTGGAAATTTGCTCTTACGGCAGAACTGAAGTGCTCTTGCAGCTGACTCTACCTCTGGGTTCCTTCCACCCTTGACAGAATTCCTATAATCCCCCAAGTTTAAATTTGCTAAGAACTGCAAAGCACCCATTTGCTCTGGAAATGTGCACAACCCAAGCAAAGGTTCGCTGACTTTATATGCTTTTCAGTGCCAGATAAAAACCTTTTAATTTGGCCAGCATTTTAAAGCTTAAATAATTTTAATCTGGTTTTATTAATATTCTCAGTTGCATTTTATTACAGTTGTAGATTGATTCTATTTTTGGTTTATTTATATGATATTGTAAGCCAGCCTGAGACAATTGGTTGTATTGTCTCAGGATAAATTTATTGGTTGTATAAATGTAAAAATTAAAAAAGATGCACAGAGGCAAAGCTGCGGACACTGGCGGGGCAGGAAAAGAAGGGAGATATAACTGGAAAGCAGGAGGGGAATCCACACCCAGTTTGAGGGAATATGATGGAGGCGAGTTCAGTGGAAGGACTGGGCACCTACCTTGACATACGTCTCATTGCTGCAGGCCTCAGTGAAGATGCTAGGTGTGGCGGGATGGGCCAGCTCTCCATCGTCATTGCTGCATTCATCCCGCTCCAGCAGGGTCGTGAGATAACGGGCTGGGAAAACACACAATCAGCCATGACACACGCTGGCCAGCAAGCTACCCAGGGATGTGAAGTGGCACAGAACCACAGAAGAGCAGAGTTGGAAGGGGCCAGAAGACCACCAGGTCCAACCTCCTGCTCAGTTAAAGCATGCCTCTCAGAAGGCCGCCCAGATGCATCTTGAGGGCCTCCAGGGTGGCAGAGCCCCCCACCTCCCCAGGTCTTTGGTTCCATTTCCTGTAACAGTCAGGACAATGTTCCTGATATCTAGCTGGAAACTACCTTCCTGCAACTGGATTCCAATATTCCAGGTCCTGCCCTCTGGGATGATGGAGAAGGATCCAGTCCTTCCTCTCTGTGACAGTGCTATCCGATTTCCCCTCAGTCTTCTCTTCTCAGGGCTAAAAATCTCCAGTTCTTTCCATCTCTCCTCAAGGGTTTTGTTTCCAGTTCCCAGATCATCCCTGTTACCCTCCTCTCAGACCTGTCTAGCTCATCTGCATCTTCCTTAAACTGTGGTGCCCCCAATGGGACACAGGACTCCAGAAGGGACCTGACCAGTGCTGAGTAGAGGGGAAACTTTTTCTAGACCTGGTATCTTCCCCAGTCTAACCTCATGCCACCCAGGCAGTGTTGTTAATTCTTCTCCTGATCACAACAGTTACTCTAAAAGCAACTTGCTATGTTTCAGTCTCAAGCTATCATCTCAGATTTGGTATCCTGAGAAATTACCACTAATGGGTACAGCTAGGATGCCCTTTTGCACAAAAAAAGATGGATTATTTTTTGTTATAGAAACCTCTGTGGGCTAAAAGTCTCTTCATTTGCTGCATGTTTTATATGCCCTTAGCAGGATGGGGGGTGGGGGGGGGGGAGAGACAGACAGACACAAGTACAAAGTCTTTAAAAGCTGCAAAATGTAAACATAGGTGCAAAGGTTTTTAAAAATATGCAAAATAATACCTAGCCTCCAAACTAACCTAACTGAAAAGCAGAGCCAAGGAAAGACCTCACAAAGGGCTAAGGACAGCAAATACTGTGGACAGGCAAGAACGATTCTGTGGCTGGTAGTCCATGAAAAGCTTGCCAAATCAAACTGATTTCAGTGACATTTTATATACTTCTCCAACCTGCTATTTCCAGATTTGTTTGGCTTAGTACCACCTAGTCCAGCACAACCAGAGGATGTATGCTGGAGGACAATATAATGGCTTTTAGTTTAAATTGGTTCATTTACTGTTTATATTACATGTTCATTCGATATATTATCTTTGTATTGTGATTCTATGGTTGATGCGTTCTTTAAGGTTATTGATTTTTAGACGATGCATCGTTTTATATTGTGAGTCATGTAAAGAGCCCAGTTACGGGCTATTGTAGTGGCATATATATCCATTAAATACAGTAAGTACATAAATTAAAATGCACTCGCTTTTGCTTTGGGAAAAGAGATAGACAGGTTTCATTGTGTGTCAGGCAACTGTATTTTTTCCATTTATATTCTTGAATACAGCAGGTTTCTATCCAGATGAGGGGCCCTGTGACCCCAAGCCAACTGGAAAGGGTTTAAACTCAATTTTTGGCATCTTCTTCTTACTATTCTCCAGCCGCTGAAGGCTCTTCCGACCCTTGGCCTTGGGAATGAGGTCCGAATTGCGGATGGCTTGATTGATGAAGTGTTGTTTCCTTTTGGCCGGGGAGAATCGCTTTGCCGAGGAGTTTGCCAGAGGTGCTGGGCAATCTTCAATCCTTCTGCAAGGCAGGGAAAGTGGCAGAAACCAAATTGTTGTGGCTTGGTGCTACTGTAGCCGGGGTTGCGGAGGCAAATAATTGCAGCTCACCCCCTGTAATCTTTGCATGGATGCAGTGAAAATAAGACAAGCAGAAACATCTTTTGGCTCCAGATCCAATGTGGAGATTCTAAGCAAGCCATTGCAGCTGAGAGCTGTGTGTGCCGATCGGATCTTTGCAAAGATCTGGAGCAGCCCCAAAGTCCACGCAGTCCAGCACTCTGTACAAACGGGGCCAAACCAGCTGCCCATGGGCTCATCCCTCCAGAAGGATGCGTGCAAGACCTCCTCCTGCCCAGCTCCTGAGCGATGGGTACATGCAAAGGGGGAGCCCATGGCCAGCAATCCTAGTAGCCACAGGTAGCTGCCTCCCTCACAAATCTTTCTAATCCCCCTTTTAATGCCATCCAGCTTGGCATCCATCAACCCTTCCCATGGCAGCAAGTTCCACAGTCTCACTAGATATTTTATGAAAATTCCTCTTGCCTGTCTTAAACCTTCCCCCAGTCAGCTTCATAGGATGACCCCAGGTTCAATTGCTATGGTAAAGGGTTCAATCGCTATGGTAAAGGAAAAAAAATACCTCCTCCTTCTCTTTTTCCACACCATGCATAACTGTAAACATCTCTAGCATATCTGCCCTTTCTAAGCAAAACTTTTTCCTAAGCAAAACTTAGAAAGAGACTCCACTTGGAACTGGGGAAGGCACACAGATGTAAAAATAAATAACATTTAAATAAATATGACAAGCTGAAGCCATTCCTCATAAAAGAGCTGTTCATTTTAGCTGCCCTTTCCAATAATCCCCTTTATCAGGTAAGGCGACCAGAACTGTACACAATATTCTATGTGTGGGCATTGTAAAGAGTTGCATAAGGCCGCGGGATCTTGACAGTTCTATTTTCAGTTCCTTTCCTAATCATGCCCTTGTAGTTTGTGTCTTGGTAAACTTGCCCCTACCAAAGTGTTGCAAAGCCATTCCCATAATTCTCAGACAGCATCACAGCTGGGGATGATCGGCATGGGAGTCTAGACTATCAAGAGAGCAACAGGTTCCAGAAAGCTGCCCCCCTTCCAAAAACATGCTGCCACGCAGGAAAAAGCATTCAAAAACACCGCAAGACTATTACGTCCCTTCTACTTCGCAAACCAAAGTTCTCCTTTATGCCAGAGAACCATCCTCATGGCAGGGGGATCTATTTTTCCATTCTGGACGCCTCTATTTTCTTTTCAAATGACAGACTCTGCATTTCCTATTTTTTGAAAGGGGTGTTTGAGAAAGCCAAGCAGTCAAGAGACAGACGTTTTCACAGGGGCTTCTGGAGAGCTCCAAACCCTTTCATCAATGCAAAAACTGCACCGACAACTTCTCGGCCGGGCCTTGGGCTCAATCTTTTTACCCATTTGCTTCCTGGTACAGCCATCCAAGCTGGCAAGCTGGACTGCGGCCAAGTATTCAACCCAGAAATAAACCCAACTACCTCTGAGTCAGTTCCACCCCACACATTTGTTGCTGGGGAGCTCTTACACTAGAGTAACAGTAGTCAACCCAGCACTGAATTCCACTCTCAGCAGTCAAAAGCAGTATTTACAAGCGAGTAAACACGCACTAAATCGTTCTGGATCATTTCTGCGGGGTCTGGGTTCCGGCCTGGCCACCCCAGGCCAGCTCCTAAAACATTCGCACCCCAAAATCACTGCTCACAGGCAAGAGTAAACACAAGTGAACAGAAACGGATGCACCCGCGCCTCCTGGCTCAAGCCAGGGAGGGGGGCCCTAGCCAGCAGGGCCAATGGTTGGAGCACCCTCGCAGGACCCGGGGATGCGCACATCTGGATTGGGGGGGGGAGCACAAGCGACGGCCGGCGCGCGCTCGCAGGACAGCGGCGCTCACATCTGGAGCGGAGGGTGGGAAGATGCTGGCGGAGCGGCGGGAGGCTGCGCTTCTCTGCCCGGGGCAGCAGAGCACGCGGCGCCGGGGCCCCCGGAGGCGGAACGGGCGCCGCGCGCGCCCAGCCCGGGCCACGAGGGCTCGCCCGGCGCCGGCAGCCGGCGGAGCGGGCCCCCCGCCGGGCCCCCCACTCACCCGAAGGGACGGTCCCGCGGCGCTCCCGGCTCCGGGGCCGCCTCGCCCGCCTGCAGCGCCACCATGCCGGCGCGG